ATCTGCCTGTTCTGCACCCCACTCTGTCTCTGGTGAATCCTCTCACCTTCCGCATCTCTGGCCTGTACCCCAGTTCTGTACAAATAAATAAATCTTTAAAAAAAAAATCCTGGTTGTCATGCAAAAATTTAACTGAACAAGTACATAGAGCTTCTTAAAACTGAATGATGGGTTGGAATTCAACAGCATAAAAAACAGCTCTTAAGAAAAACCAGGAAACGGCAGTTCCACAAATTGTCAATCAGTCGCCTTAGAAATACTTGCTCATAGTATGTAATGATTAAGCAAAAATTAAAGTTTACAGTGATACAATTTTTACTCAAAATATTATAATTACCTCAACTATCTCTATTATCTTTTAAAGTGATAAAGCTCCTACCATTAGTTCTATATTTCTGTTGCTTGACTATGTAAATTTATTCTCAGGCTACTTCCTTCCTGACACAAAATTCTATTTCTCCTAGAATTTAAGTAGGCGCATCACACCATTCTTTAATTTAACACACCTAATTTTTACACATTTCTCATATTCATATTTTGTTAGAGCTCTGTAACAATAAATTTCGACGAGTCAAATCATTAAAGCCACCCACTCTCTTTTTATACATCACATGACAATTTGCTCCCTAAATGAAATAGCAATATTAAGAAACTTACCAGGTTTCCAGCAGGTACTCCAAGGTCAGCCAGGTAGACAATGGAAGTGCAGATTCCCTGAAAGCAGCCAGCTCTAGATAAAGCCTCCCCCATCTTAATACTGAATATTTTGTACTAAAAATTGTACTGGCAAAGATCCTAACTGACACCTCAGTGATGACAATTAATAAGTATCAAGAGAGTCAGGGGACAGTCCTTGGCGCGTTACCTCTTTGCAGTCTTTTACGAGGGGCTGTATCACACTGAGGTCCTGATGGCTGCCGCCCATTGCACTGCTCGTGCTTTTATTCCTCGTGTGCCCCTTTCTGAAAGGTGTCTTTCCACCTGGCAGAGGCTCCTGTGTGGGTGATGTTGGAGAACTGGACAATACAAGGGCCTTCAATGCAGCAACTTCAGCTTGAAGTACATCGATCTTAAAAAGAAATCAACAAGGCCCCAAACACTTGGATGACAGATGCAGCTAAATGTTAGCAATGTGGTTGAAATGTTTTCCTCTCAAAGATGAAATAAAAGTTTAATTTGTATTTCTTACTGAGTAATAAAAGAACACCAAGTGTTTTGTTTTGTTCTTTTTCTGTTTTACACCATTTGGATTTGATGACTATTCACCACGTTAAATTAAATTTCAAAAATTATAAAAATAACAATTTATGTGAAAATTCAGTATCTTCAAAACGTTAACAGCTCATGATTATATGTATTCGCTCCTAAAACAGTAAAACCTAATAACATTTCGGCGGCTTTTTTCAGTGAATTAAGAAAATAAATATTAACTTTAATATGTGATTATTTATATAGTCATTTTGATGGTACATGCAATTCATGAACCGCTGACTATATGGTTCTGATATATATGGATACCAGATAAAGTCACTATTAAATATAGTGACTGTTTTCTTCTTTATAATTTCTAAAACAAGCACTACTTTTGTAGTAAGAAATCAAATAATATTAAGATATCTTTAAAACAGTAGTCACTCATTTCTTTACATTTACTACTAACTAAAAGCAGCAAAAACTTACCTTTCCTTGTGCCTCTTTTAGCTGTTTCTCTGCTGTTGCTTGCTTGACATTTGCTTCTCTCACCATCTTATGAGCTTCCTGAAAAAGTTAACATCTCTCATTTTGGAAACAAAGAATTCAGCATTTATTTTCAAAAACCTTTCAACAACTGTCTGACTTTTAGCAAAGATATAAAGTCATGTGTCAATTACAGGAATAGGTTCTGAGGAATGCATCATTAGGTTATGTGCTTGTGACATGTCACAGAGAGTAATCACACAAACCTAGATGGTGTAGCCTACCAACACCTAAGCTACATGCTATTGTCTACTGGAAATATCACTGTACCTGTGGTCTACTGATCAAAATAGCGTTAAGCAATGCATGACTATACTATCAAAATTCAGTCCAAAATTAGCATTCATTGTTAACTAATGAAGTAGTAGTTGTATCAGAGAGACAAACTACTTGAGAATTAGGAGTAGGTACCTTCTTTGACAATACATTCTCACTGAGGCAGCCAGTTGTGCTTAGTCATTCTGACCAATGTTTTGTGAGGTCTTTGCATGTGTGAAGGGAAACCTACAACCCACATGTCAAACTCAGCTCCTGTGTGGCTCAGGTTTTTGTAACATGGTCACAGAAACACAAACATATATTCATATTATTAGTCACAGCAATGACAAATAGCAGGTACAAGCAAGAATATTAGCACATCAACGATGCTGAAATTTATCTGGAATGACAGCTTGAGAAGCCTTAGATCTCCCAATAAAAACATTCACAACTTGATATTAAGTGAAATCATCTGACGGTAATCTAAAAAAGCAAATCAAAGGTTTAGTAAGGTCTTAATTTTTTTCTGACTTTTACTCATATAATATTTAAATACTCATATAATATTTAATATTTAAATCTCTGTGAAGTATTATTCCACATGCTAATAATACACTGGGAAGAGAGAAAAGGCCCCTGCTCTTCAGGAGCTTACATTCTGATTACATTCTAATCATGTATCATTTAGAGAAAGAATTCCTGATGTTATTCTAAGTGTAAGATGAAATTTTATGGATTTTTAAGGAAGAGAATGGCATGATCCAGCCTGTACTTCGGAAACATTGCTCTGCTACACGGAATGATTCCAACAAAGGACTGAGGATGAACTATAAGTGTTTAGGGTGCTTGAGATAATCCCCTGGCATGTAAAAACAGTACTTGAGAACTTCAATGTATAGTTTCTGAGAGGGATTGGAGGAAGGGAAAAGGAGTGGGGGGGGGAAGGTGGAAGTCTAATGCAAAGGTGACAGTGGCACCCAGGCGGAAGTCTACTGCAAAGGTGACCGTGGCACCCTCACCAAGTGAGCTGTACGGGAGTGGAGATCTCCACGCCACTGTCACAGTGGCACACCCACTTGTTGACCTTTTTTTACAGTATTGTGATGAATTTCAGTTTATATGTGTCATGTACATGAATTTACAGATCACATTAGTCTAAATACAAGAATCTTTACTCTCAAGATTTTAAAATGAGAGGAGATTAACTGTGAAACTGTGCATAATTATGCTGGTTGTCTTATGTCATCCTCAGGAGCTGTAAAATGTAATAACGCAGCAAGCATTTTTTTAAAATAACCAATGTTTCAGAATTGCTGTATTTTTCTGTGGTAAGGTGCTGTCAATAAAACAATCTTGACTGATATTTTCAAAATAATGAACCTAGCCAAAATAACCCTTCCCGACAACTGCCATTTTAACTATAAAAGTAGTAACTCCTGTGATGGCTGCACTATGCTTTCATTAGATTAAGCAACTCAGACTAAACCTCTTATGGAAAATAGCTAGAAAAATTGGACAAGCTTTTTTAAAATCATCTTTGAAAGCATCAGAGAGCTAACAAACTAGTGAAGAATTAGGAAATCAAGACCCAGAAGAAGAAGGGAGCAGAGACTTAGGGTGACCTTTCTCAAAGAGATATAATAGAGACATAGTGAAAAGGTAAAGCATACATAGAATTGGAATTCCAAAAGGAAAGAAGAGCTACAGTGAGGCAGAAGTAGTATCTAAAAAAGACAATACACAGGATTTTACAAATTAGTATCAAAAGGTTGATTCTCAAAAAAAAAAAAAGTTTTTTTACTGTCACTCTATCATTCTGAAGCTGAAAACAATATGGTAATTATCACCTAAAATAAGAGTTGACAAATATTTTCTATAGATGGCCAAAGAATAAGTAATTCTGGATTTCTGTGGTATCTGCTTAATTCTACCTTTGCAGTATGAAAGCAGCTACAGGCAATACATAAGCAAACAAGTGTGGCCACTTCAATGAAAATTTATAGGCACTAAAGTCTGACTTTGATATAGTTGACAGATGTCATAAAATGTTCTTCCTTTCCAAAGGATCCCCATCCACTCCCCTGCAACCGTTTAAAAACATACAAAACAATTTTGGTCCACAAGATGATATGGAAGTAGATACGGACTAGTTTTGCTTTGCAGGTTTATAGTCTGCAGATCTCAGATATACACAAACATTCAAGTCTTTACATTTAAAAACTTTGAAAATGGTTTTTTTGCCCCTATCTTGGTTAGCAGTGATTCAAATTAAGGTGCCTTTTTTTTTTTTAACTGTGGTTTAAATTCAACATCTACTAATTAATTGCAAAAACAATGTGTTGATTATTAGAAAAACAGAATCTCTAGGGAAGTTTCTGGAAAAATCTTCACATATATAGCAGTAGAACTGAACTTTTAGTATAATAATTTAATCCAGGGAAAGATACACTTCTTCCACTTGGATCAATGTAACTGAGTTACCAGCATTATTACATCTAATCCATCAAAAATGGAGCACAGATCAAACCTCCATCTGGATCACAAATTGTTAAAACAAGATTTCCAAAAACAAGGTAACATATTTAATCACTCCTCTCACTAAATACACACACCATATGTGTTAGTGAGAAGAAAATTCTGTACTAATATAACTTTTTAAACATTTTTATTGTCTCAATCTTTAAAATGATAATGTTTTATAATTTATGTAAATATGTATGTTGGTGTGTGTGTATATATATATATAATTCATGTTTAAAAACTAAGGCTCTTATAATAGTGTCTAGCACAGAGGGAATCTCAGTACGTACTAGGTATCTACATCATAATGAAGGTATTTGCTAAAATCTTACTTTTACTGGTCACACATACAAGCAGAAAGTTTGGCATCTACAGATCTAATAAGAAATGAGAATTGGAAAATGGTGCTAGCAGTGTCAAAATAGAACAGTGTGGAGCGAGAGTGTAGAGAGAGGCCTCAATGATACTCTGCTGCTCAAGAGAAATGGAAAAGCTGCTTCTGGTTTCATAATAGATAAAGAATTCAGGTCATGAATTTGCATTCCAGCATTACTCCTTGACTTACCTAATACTTCATTTTATTGACAGACAAAATAATAATTTGCTATATCCCTTAATAGCACCATGGAGAAAAATTAATCATAGAAGTTTACTAAAATTGGCTGACAAAAAAAAATTAAAACCACCTTAAGACTACCTTTTTTCCCCCATGTTAAATGTAAACTAGAAATTTTATATTACTGCAAAATCTGGGATACTAGGAGAAAAAATTATATAGAGTTATATTTGATACTTTTGATAAGATTCAACTTTGCTACAAAGTATAATTATAACTAAGATTATTCATCTTACATAATAAAGTGCTAATTTAAATTTACATGTTAAGTTTACCAAAACTGCACAAACTGAGTTTAGAATAGCCCTTATTCAGAATAGCCTTTAGTTTTTAGAACTCTATCAGTCTCTTTCTACATACAGATATATACATACATTCTAACTGGGTTTTTTTGAGAATCACTAATGCCAACAAGCATCCTAAAAGTCCGGCATCATCAATGGCACCCTATTTAAAAGTACTGCTTGTAAGGGCAGAAATCTAGTCCTGGTAGCAGGTGAGCTTTAAAGAGGTGTGCTTTCCAACAAATAGTTATGGCTGCTAACATTTCCTCAAATGAACCCATAGCAAATGACCACCATGAAGGTTACTCTGCAGCAAGCCCTAGAAAGATGGTAAAAAATCAAAATTAAAATTTACCTGCCTTTTTTTTTGCACAGATGCAATTTTATAAACAATATGGCACTAGCAGTCCATCGTGTCTCTTTTCACATCACTTTAAAGTAGTAGGTAGGTCCCGCCAACCCTGCCAACCTACTGAAGCTGGCCCCCTGCTATAGGGAAGGAAGAGCCCCTAATGCAATTATTGCCTTGGGTGCAGGGGAGAGGAGAAAAGGCTCTAGCTATTTTCTCTGGGACTTATAAATATGTGTGAAGTTAAGCAGATCTTTTTCAAGATTCTCTAAAAAAAAAATCACAATTCTGTCAATACGTATAAGTCAAGATGTTGCTTTTGGCCAAGATGTAAACAGACCAACCTCAAACAGACTAGCTGTGAGCTCCTCCAGCTCCTGTCCAAGTTGATCTCGCACTTTAGAAAGCCTCTCACACTCTTCATCTTTTAACTTCAGTTCCTATGAGAAATTGATTATTTTATTTTGGATTTCCATAGTTAAAATTAGATTCAGCAGACTATATATATTTTATTAATAAAATGACAAATTACTAATATTGTCCCCTCCTATATTGCTCACAAATGTTGGTTTAGCACTTGATATGCAGATGACAATCAGGCAAATCTAAAATTATAAATAACTCTAATTCAATAGTAATTCTTCTTGTATTTGTTATAAAACATCCAAAGATTAAGTATGATTATATGTTACATATGAAAATTAACAATTAAATGGTTTCATTCTTTTTCCCCTGACTTTTCTCTGAACATACTTATTCCCATTCAGCAAGGACTTTCTTCAAGTATGCTTATTGATTTCAATAACTTTAATGGGGTTTTATTTTTTTCATATTTACTTTAAAATTGTTTATTGACAATTTCTTGTACCATACTACAATTAACTAAAATTTTCTTTAGGAGACTTTACAACCACTTAAAATTGTAGCAAGAGATAAATGATGCATATCTACATTTTAAAAAATCAAGAGAACAGGTAGTGACAAAAAATCACATCTTAATGTTCATATATGACTCCTCCACAGGTCACAAATGTGAAAAATTCATATAAATGCAAATTTTTTATGTTACCCAAAATTGAACTTTCAAACAGATCTTAAAAACCCAAATTCCCTTTACATTAGTCAAAATTACAAGAATAAAATAATGGGTTAGTCATGCTCTAACGGTGGAGGCAGCTCAGTTTTTACACCCCTCAAGGACAACCTCTAAAAAACAAGTATACCAAATGGTACAGGACCAGTGGGTAACATCATCAACAAACAGAGAAAAAGAACCCTCACAAATCTTAGACCCTGGGAGAATGTGGCTGAACAGCCCACACCTCCAGACAAGCATCTATGCAGAGGAAAGCAGGAAGTGAAAGAGGCTACCGACATACTACAAAGCCTCGAAACCCCAAGTCATAAACATCCCAAAGAAGCGGACTCTACCCCTAGTGGGAACTGGGAGAACAAATCTGAAACAAATGGAAAAAAAGAGAAAGGTTTTCATAGGTGATGCCAAAACCTGTGTGTACATCCCAGAAGCAGCACAGAGGCCCATGAAGGTCTGACCCCAAGAGACGATCCAACATCTAGCAAAGAAACTCAGAGGAAAAAACTCAAAGAAACTCAAACTCCACCTGAAGGGAAGAACTCTTAAGACTCTGAGATGAAAGTAATTCAGGACGGCAGCTATGGAGATAGAGCTGGGAAGGTTCCATTTTAAAGGAGAGAAGGACACACATACACACATCTTGTAATGCCATGTCAATAAGACTGTGAAGTTTGCAGAGGCTGAGACCTTGGGCCACAGGAGAAAACCCTGAACAAGGCCTACCTCTGAGAGACAGAGGTGACTACACTGATACACCAGTAATGACAGAAGAGAACGTCTGTGTATGTAAAACTGAGAAAGCCACCCTGGTTTATCCGACTCCTTCACAGGAACTTCCTTTCCTCTTAGGCTTGGAAATCCAATTCATTTCAAGTGGAAACAAAGGAACGAAAATTGTGACTTTATCACAATAAAAAAGTTAAACACAAAGCCAAATCACCCAAAAGAGAAAGAAAACCAGACTGGTATTAAACTTGAACAGCATTTTGTGCTTCAAAAAAAGGTGACATTTTCAAGATACTTAAGGGAAAAAGTGAGTTCATGTTTTACTAACCAATCAAAAAATCCTTCAAGTGTAAGGCCAGAGGCAGAATTACAAATGTACAGAACTTTTTAAAAAATATTTCTCCCATGAGCTTGCCTAAGTGGACAGAGAATGAGCTTCAGATAATCAAGAAAAAAAGCATTAACATTACAGACTGGGGGTAAGAAATAAATACATTTAAATGTAGAACTATGACCAAAAGATGGGGATATCAAAAGAATGAAAAGCCAAGCAATAGAATGGGAGAAAATGTTTGAAAAAAGACTCTCTGATAAAGGACTGTTACCCAAAAGAAACAATTCTTTTAAACTTAAAAGATAGAGAATAATAGGAATGAGCAGGTGAAGCAGAGGATTTTTAGGGCAGTAAAGCTATTGTGTATAATGCAGTTCTGGATACATGTCATTGTTCATTTGTCAAAACCCAAGGATGTACAATATCAAAGTGCATCCTAATGTAACCTCTGTACTTCAAAGAATACTGTGATGTCCAAGTAGGCTCATCAACTGTAACAAATGTTCCATTCTGGTACAAAGTATTGGTAGTGAGAGGGCTAGGCATGTGTGGGAACAGGAACTACATGGGAACTGGGAACTCTAGACTTTCATTTTTGCTACACATCGAAAAGTGCTCTAAAAAGTTACATCTATTTTTCAAAAGAGGGAGAAAGTTGGCAGACAGTTATGTTAATGTTAGAAGCTTTAGAAATATAAAGATAGGGCCTCCCTGGTGGTCTAGGAGTTAAGTCTCAGTACTAACACCTCTAAGGCATGAGTTGGATTCCAGCGAGGGAGCTGACCTGCATGGTGCAGCAGACCTCTCATGTCTCACCACTGCTCCCCTCCACAGTGGATTTCAGTTAATCTGGCTGTTCGGCTCCCCACTCTGTCTCTAGGGGATCCTCTCACTCTACCCACCCCCCCAACACCTCTGGCCTATACCCCAGTTTTTCTACGCCAAAAGGAAAATAAAATGTATATATACATACACATATATGTATAAATAACTCAAAAAATAGGAAAAAGATAAAATTAAATTCACTAACTTCTGAAATATTAACTAGGAGTAATATTTCAGGCCCACATGTCAATTAATATAACTAACATAATATTCTACCCAGTATTACATGATAGAGAAGGGAAAAAAATAGTCACTAGATAATTTTAGTACTGTTTAGGTAGGGGCCAAAAAGCCCTATCTAAAAAAAGGTTGAGAGATCTAAGTATCTTTGATTAATGTAACTACAAGGATTTCTGGGAATCAAAACTTTTTCTCTTCTCTTTCTGGGTCTCCCATGAAACAGATGCTATTTAAGTTATTCCCAAGGGTTCTCCCTCTACTTTTTCTCCACTTTTTTATCTACATTGTTCCATTTGTTCCCAAAGATTGTGTGTTCAAGTTCATTACTTCTCTCCATTAGTCTTGTTTGTCTGCTATGAGACTCACAATTGCATTTTTAAAATCAACTATGATGCTTCTTAATGGTTTCTAACTATAGCTGCCTCATATTTTCTTTATCTTTATTCTGTTGTTTTATATCCCCCATTGTTTTTCTGAATTTCATAAGCACTGATAGAACTGTTAACTTGCTCTCCTCTTCTGTCATGTCTTACAGTTTTGCCGTTGGGGCTACCCTCAGGGCTTTTTGTTGTTGTTCTTGTTCCAGCATCTATGCTTTGTTCTTCTGTCTCATTTTAAATTTGTATGGGTTGTAACAGGGAGAGATGTTCAGACTCTCTTTGCACCGTTAAAATAATCTGAGCAGTGGTACTGGCGAGGGATGGCACATAAAAAAAGGACTGGGTCAGCCGAGCACCAAAGGACCACCTCCAGTCAACGGTGCGATTCAAACTTCTTCCTATACTATAGGGGCCAGAGTGCTAGGAGGAGTCCACAGCGATGTCCTCCTCCAGGCAGCTCCTCATTCTCGGTGTCTCTCATCGTCGCTGTCCACCTCCACTATGTAGGCTATTTTCTTAAAAGATTTATTTATTCATGCATACAGAACTGGGGTACAGGCCAGTGGTACAGGGGGTGAGAGGATTCACCAGAGACAGAGTGGGGAGCAGAACAGGCAGATCGAAAAGTACACTGATGAGACAAGAGAAGTCTGCTGCGCCATGTGGGTCACCTCGAAGGCTGGAGGTCGAGCTCACACTGAAGCGGCTGTGGCTAGCTTGCAGTGTTGCATCCTTAACCCATTGTGCCACCAGAGAGGCCCCTATGTAGGCTATTTTAAGCACGAGATAGACGTAGCACTGGGCACACTGTAGTTGAGATGCAATCAAAGTGATAAGGTACTTTGTCCCCAGGCACTAAACTGTAAACAGGGATGTTTATTCTTGCTGACAGTTACTTGAACTCTAGTTTGTTCAAACATTCCTTTGGTTTAGCTCTGGGCTTTGGGGGTTTTAGAAGGTGGCAGGTGTTTTGAGTATCTCAGTTATTTCTAGTATCCTTTTCTATGAGAAGAACCAGGTTTTCTAACCTGCTGCTCCTTGCCAATTCAAGTACCAGTTATTCTATAAGAGAGTATCAGGCTCAAAGCAGTGACCTTCACTCTGCACCCAAGCCCTGCAGTTCTCCAACTGTGCACCCTCTACCTTGGATGCCAATTCGCGAACCCCCTATCCAGTGCAATGTCACCAGGTCGCAGAAGTCCCCTATACTGGTGTGTACCCAAGTCAGCGGCTACAGGGAGTTCTGCACAGTTGTCCCCCCTCTTGGGAGTTGTACTGCCAACCCACCCCCACAAAGTTTAAAGTTTTTGTTACCCTTTTCCACTGAATCATTGCTCCTTTTATGCTGTGGTAGTCCACTTTCCCCGAAGGAGTTTTTTGGTTTGTTTTATTGCAATTTAGTTGAGAGTATCTGGAAGAGGCAAGCCTGCCATCTGTCAGGCTGAGTCATTCGTGTTTTTTTCCCCACTCTGATCCATCAATCTGGATGAATCCATCTCTATAAATGCCTGACTGCTTTCTTTCTAGGCTTCCAGGCTCAGCTCAACTACCTATATAAAATTAAATTTACATTGTGAGTATTTTTAAATTTTCATTTGTACTTTTCATTATTAGTACTTTATATTGCAATATTGTTACACAAAGTTCACTCCTTCAATAAATATTACCTTGTGTTGGCAATGAATGAAGACATTTATCTAGGGGCTACAGAGAAATGGCATGAGCCCAGTCTATGACTTTCACAAAGTCATAACCTAATGAGGGCAGCAGTAGTTTAAAAGATTCATCAGTCTTTTGATAAAAGGAGTCACAAAGGCTATCATAGTGACACCAGATGCC